AAAGAAACGACTTCAAATTTACAGAAAAATGGCTAATTTTCCATTTCACATAAAAAATAAAAAACCTCTCAACCTATGAAACCACTTTGAGCTTGGTTGCGTACAAATAATAACTATACTTACATACTTTCCTATAACTCTACTTCATCCTCGGCCAATTTTACACATTTTTCCTGTCCTTTCACTACTAACAAAGCCCTTTTTTACGTATTCCCTGGCAGGTCCATGAACGCCCCGCTGTTCAGGCCCGCGTCCCTGAAGGCTTTTACGGCTTAACACAAGGGGCTGACGCTAAATGACTCTGAAGCGATAAAAGCGGAGACTCATTTTCACAGCTCCGCTACAAAATGTGACGCGGATATGTTCCTTAAAGTCGCGCTCTGATCCCGGCTTTCCTGCGAACTCCAAAACTCCGAGCTTAAACCGATGGAAGGTGACAGCGCCAATTGACAAACAGATTTTTTTCCCCCCAAAATATTTGAACCCAAGTACAGATAAAGTATCGAAGCAGCTCCGGAGGTTAATGTCTGGGGGCGTTTCAGTGTCTGATAGTCCGGAAGTGCACGTTAGCATGCTAGTTGTTGTTATTTTTTAACATCGTGGCAAATCTGGTGAACAATTAGAATGCGTAAGGTAAGTGAGGAATAATTTTGGGCTGCTGAAAACTGTTTAAAAGTTTTTTTTAGTTCTGTTTTTCCACATTTTTAATTCCATAAGAAGCAGGTAATAGTAGAAGTCGAAAATACTAACTGTGGTGCATTCAAGAGTGCATTCATGCTTAAAAAACAGGACTTAACCTTGAACTAGACCTGGACCAGACCAGGACTAAATCAGGATTAGAATGAGACCAAATCAAGGGTTAAAACCAGGACCAAATCATGACAAGTGTGAACGTGCCCTAAAACTACTATCTAAACTGGATCAAAGTATCTATACTGTAAAAACAAACAATACAAAATTTGATCTTTCTTGAACACTTTTAGAATACCTGGACTAGTCCAGGAGCCTGAACCAAGTCCACATCAGGACTAAACAAGGGTTAAACCAGGACCAAATCATGTTAAGTGTGAACGCGCCCTGAAACTAGTATCAAAACTGGATCAAAGTATCAATACTAAAAAAAATACAAAATTTGATCTTTCCTGAACAGTTTTAGAATAATTTTAGGATTTATCAGAAATATCATGAGACCACATAGGACTAAACCAAGACTAGAACAGGACCAAACCAGGGACGAAACAGGGGTTAGACCAGGACCAAATCATGTCAAGTGTGAACGCACCCTAAAACTAGTATCAGAACCAAATCCAAGTATTGATACTGAAGAAAACAAACAAAAACAAATAATACAAAATTTTTGTTTAGTTTTAGAATACCTGAACTAGACCAGGAATAAACCAAGACTAGAACGAGACCAAACCAAGTCCACATCAGGACTAAACAGGGCTTAAACCAGGACCAAATCATGTCAAGTGTGAACGCGCCCTAAAACTAGTATCAAAACTGGATTAAAGTATCAATATTGAAAAAAAATACAAAATTGGATCTTTCCTGAACAGTTTTAGAATAATTTTAAGATTTATCAGAACTATCATAAGACCACATAGGATTAAACCAAGACTAGAACAGGGCTTGAACCCTGACCAAATCATGTCAAGTGTGAACGAGCCCTAAAACTAATATTGAAACTGGGTCAAAGTATCAATACTGAAAAAACAAAAAACAAAAACAAACAATAAAAAATTGGATCTTTCCTGAACAGTTTTAGAATAACTTTATGATTTATCAGAGCAATTATAAGACCACATAAGACAAAACCAAGACTAGAACGGGACCAAACCAAAGATTAAACAAGGTCCAAATCATGACAAGTGTGAACGCGCCCTAAAGAAACTGGGTCAAAGTATCAATATTGAAAAAAAAAAGACAAAAAAACAAAAAATACAAAATTTGATTTTACTTGAGCAATTTTAAAATACCTGAACAAGACCAGGTCTAAACCAAGACTAGAACAAGACCAAACCAAGTCCGCATCAAGACTAGACAGGGCTTAAACACAGGACCAAATCATGTCAAGCATGAACGCGCCCTTAAACTAGTACCGAAACAATATCAATATTGAAAATAACAAACAAAAACAAAACATAAACAATACAAAATTTCATCTTTAAAATACATCATCATAAAAGTCCTAATGCAAACTGTCTAAAAAACAACATTTTAAATTACGATTGTGGTTTCAGAATCGGTTTTAAATACCAAGTCTGTTCCTCAGTCTTAAATTTTTAATGTTAATACACTGTAATAGGTGGTTAGCGAAATATTTGAGACAAGAAAACTAGACTAGTGGGAGAGTACGGGGCTGGTTTCCAAATCGAGGGGTTGTCAAATCTGAAGTTAAAACATTTTCAGAATAAAACCTTCAAGTTTTGAGACAATTCAAGTGTGTCAGGAAATTTTTTGGAAGAAATGTTATGATTGTTTGGGGGAGGCTTGTGTGTTCCTGTGAAAATATTAGGAACACAATATTTTGTGGCATTTTTTTCATAGTTATTTGAAAACATTTAAAATAATATAGGTTGTGAATGCTGAAAAAGTATCTCTAAATTGCAGTGATTATGATTACAAATACATTACTGTCAGTGACATTTGTTGGGTAAAAGTACTTTTTCAGTATTTTTAAGCACATACTTGAGTATAATTCTGTAATTGTAATGAGTTAGACCTTAATTTTAAATCAGATATTACTGATTAACTACTGTACATGTCTTAGTTGTTCATTGATTCAGTGATATATCATGATATGTCATTGCACAATTCTCTGAATCGATCTTTTAAACAATTATTTTCACTAAAATTCATCAATTACATTCACTGTTCTCATGATTTTAAAAAGGTAATCATTTATATTTCATATTTGGATGTAACAATACCCTAAATATCATGATATCATGATGTCAAAAGTCTCACAATAATATTGTGGGCTGTCATAATATATCGAGTTACAAGTTCCTGTGCTTGAATACATGGTTTTATAGTAGCAACAGTTAATAAACAAAGTGACTACATATCCCATGATTCATTTCAGTGCAGAAAACGAAGAAATATGTTTTTTTACTTGAATTCTTGGGATTATGATGGAATGATTCGCATCAAAGTCTTGTCAAGGTATTTTAAAAGCAAAAAAGTGTCCTATCTACAGTTCTATATCGCAATAAATGTCGTATAAATATCGAGATTTGGATATCGTTACATCTCTAATTTCATACAGTTTGGTTCTCGTGAAGGTGTAGGTGACAATATTATTGGAAGAAATTATTGATAAATCACAATATATCATTCATTGTCTTAGTATTGGGATGTATCGTGATGTATTGAATCGTGACGTGCGTATCGTGATATGTATCGTATCGTCACCGCGAGTCCCTAGGCCTCTAAACACACACGATAACAGCACTGCATCTCTCAAAGCTCAGAGAATGTGCAAATTGTGATTTAAAACAATTGAGTTCACCTTTAGCGTTTCAAATGAATCAGATTTTGTACAAAAGCGTGATCTAAAATGCTTCAAAAATTGCTTAGTTAGTGACGAGTATTTGGAATAGGATCTTAGAATCTGCTTTGTGTACGTTTTACTTAATACAATACTTGAGCAAGTATTTGTTGGCACTACTTGCTCTTGTAACTGTGAATATTTAGCAATGTAGCTGTACTTTTACTCAAGTACAAATGTAAAATATTCTTTACACAACGGCTACTTTGCAACATGTTTTCAGATAATTCCACTGTTTCAGAATGTCAGCCCAGCCTCCTCTAACACATGACACATATATACAATAAATACAGTATAAACACTTTAACTTCTTGGGTTCTTTTTAAAGACAATACAGTAAGGTGTATTTTCTTTAAACAGAACCCAAGAAGTTAAAATACATACGAAGACAAAATGAACATCCTTGGCCGAGTATAAACACATAAAGCAGATGTTCACAATCATTCATAACAACGTAGAGAAAAGAATGGAAACATAAATGAATAAAGGAGACAGTGACTGATTTTGGGGAGGGGGAGGAAATCCATCTGTGTATTAAGTCTTTGAAAAGATGATTGATTATTGAAATGGCTTTTTTGCAAGATAAGTAAGACATGAATGTGCTTCTGTGGAGCTGTTTTCTTGTGCATCTGTGTATTTGTTCTCTTGTACGTCTGTGCAACTGTGTGAGCTGTTCTGTTGTGTCTGTTGTGCATTTGTGGAGCTGTTCTGTTGTGCATCTGTTGTGCGTCTGTGTCTCTGTTCTCTTGTACGTCTGTATATTTGTTCTCTTGTACGTCTGTGCGTCAGTTGTGCGTCTGTTGTACGTCTGTGGAGCTGTTTTGATGTACGTTTGTGCGCTGTTATCTTGTGCATCTGTTGTGTGCCTTATTTGAATTTTGAATTTTATTTATCTGGAGGATAAGCCCCTTGAGATGTTCTGCCGTCTCGTTTTCGAGGGGGTCCTCACAACTACAAATTCATGTCTGTTGTGCGTCTGTTGTGCGTCTGTGGAGCTGTTCTGTTATGCATCTGTTGTATGTCTGTGTATTTGTTCTCTTGTACGTCTGTTGTACGTCTGTTGTGTGTCTGTTGTGCGTCTGTGAAGCTGTTCTCATGTACGTCTGTGTATTTATTCTCTTGTGCGTCTCTGTATTTGTTCTCTTGTGCGTCTGTTGTACGTCTGTGTCTCTGTCCTCTTGTATGTCCGTGTCTCTGTCCTCTTGTACGTCCGTGTCTCTGTTCTCTTGTACGTCCGTGTCTCTGTCCTCTTGTACGTCCGTGTCTCTGTCCTCTTGTACGTCCGTGTCTCTGTCCTCTTGTCCGGGAGCCTACATGCGTAACTTGGCACCAGTGGGCGCGGTGCCGTCCCCCTGCGCAAAGACGCACGGGCACGTCGCGCTTCGGTTCTCCCCGGTCCGGAGTGTGTGTGTTTAAACCGCGCTCTAATCACGCGCATTCGTCTTACCCTGCAGGTTGGGTGCCATGGATCCCTCGGGGAAAATGCCGTCCTTCATATACACCAGTAGCTCCTCCCCCGCCTCGATGTCCCGGACCGTTTTGTAGTAGATCTGCGAACACACAATTCAATTTGTCAAGATATTTTTTTTATTATTTTTATTAAGTTATTTGTTTATATTTTTATTGGATCAGTTGACATCCTTGGATTTATTTGGGATTGAGAGTTATTTTCTTTTTTTTGCTTTTCTTTTTTCTTTCTATCGTCACGAAGACTCACTCATTTGACGAAAAAGTATAGGTTTATTTTATTTTTAATTTATTTAAATACCATCTATCTATCTATCTATCTATCTATCTATCTATCTATCTATCTATCTATCTATCTATCTATCTATCTATCTATCTATCTATCTATCTATCTATAGGCCTACAATTATGGCAAAACCTTCTAGGACTCTCTCATTTCACGATAATTTATGGAGTTGCTTTATTTTTAATTTAAATAGAACAAATACAGAGATATTTGTGTCATTTCATCTTAAAATATTAAACAAAATATTTACAAAAATTCGTATAAATTGTGAAAACTTAGATTACATTTTTTGTTTTAGCGTATTTTTGTTTCGTAATCCAGTATAATTAAAACAGTATTGATTCCTAAAACGATATATAGTTATGTTTTGGCACGTTTGCGCGTAATTTCACAGCCACTAATCCAACCCGTGCTACTCATCCGTGCAGTTTAACGTATTTATAGTCTCCAGAAACGCGTTTAATACACTTTGGAGTAGAAGGTGTAACGTGAGGCCGCTGATCCAAAAGGCCTTTCGCTTCGACGCGGCCGTGCGAAGTCAAAAATCACAGAAAAAATCCGGTGGAACGCGCTGGGGACATTGAATAAATTACGGTAGCGCGTTTCATCTCCTCCCTGCGCGCGCCAGCCCACAGCTTTGCGTCAAAACGAACCACGAACGGCACCAGGTTTGGATCAAGGCCAAAAAAAAAAAAAAAAAAAAAAAAAGCGATATTATAAATCCAAACGCCAAAAAATTGAATAAAACAGCGAGTTACAATCGTTGGCATTCTCGCGTTGACGATAATACGTAAATCACTTCTTAAAAATACAAGTAAATTTTGACATTTGCGATGGATTAAACGCGTTTTAACTCACAATTACGCGTTAATAAATACAAATTGTGTGCCGTTTTTTCACACGCGTAAACCTGGACATGATTAAAGTAATTTACAGACATCGATCGGTTAATTGTTCGTGCGCAATCAGTCAAATGCGCATCAAAATGTTCAAAATGCATCAAGAATAGATAGATAATTATAGTTAATTCACCAAAAAAAAAATCTGTTTAATTGTTACAGTTTACAAAATAATAATCAGTGCGTAATCACGTCGTGTCCAGTTTTGCTTTTTATTTCCTGATAGCAGTTCGACACGATAGATCTACTCTTCCCTTCGAAGTTACATCACCAATAATTCGGCACGATGTTAGAAATAATCCAAAACAGCTCAAGAAATTCAGAATTGTTGTGAAAATGTTATAATTTTAGTGTAAAAATGCGTTCTGGCGTTCGTGTTTCGCTTTTGGACACGCTCACACACTCGGCACAGTACCGCGTAACGCCACATGGTCGCGCTGTGCACCAAGCCAAACCAAACCCTCACGCTCCCCGCACTCCGCTCTCTCTCTTTTTTTTTCTCACACACTCACCCAAACAGGAGGAAAGCTCGCCAAAAAAAGTTACATCCGACACGGGACCGGCGATAGACGCGAGCGCGCACAATTCACAATTCAAAGCAAAAGTAGCGATATTTTTTCGTATTCTACTTTTTGTGTTGTTGTTGTTCAGCCTGACCTTAGTTTTATCGACGAGACGGAGCAGTTGGGAGAGACGAAGAGCCTCCAGCGGCAGCAGAAGTTCACCAGTCCCGGAGGAGTTGGCCACGCAGCCCATAGTCGGGGCGCCTCGGAGCGGGCAGGGACGCGGCGGAGGGGTCGGTCCCCGGAGCGAGCGAGCAGGGCGCACGGTTCCGGAGAGACACCACAGCACACCAGCCGAAGCGCGCGCACGGAGGGTCGGACGGACGGATAGATAGATGAGACAGAACTGAACGCGACTGTCCCCCTTGCTCCGATCTTGTCCGCGGCGGTGAGGATGATGCCCTGCCCCTGCCCTTCGTTCATTAGTGCGCTCCCGACTGTCGCCCCCGTCGGCCACTCCTCCCCCGCCTCCCCGTCTTATCTCCAGCCAAAAGCATCGCAAAGACCCCTCCCCAACATCCCCGCTCCGCTCTCCGCCTGATAAATCTATTATTGATGTCGGGGAATGGACAAGAGAGACTGGAGATGTCCGCGGACGCAGGAGCGAAGCCGGTGCGCAACCCGGAAAGATTTGGCACGCGTAAAAGGCGCTGTTACTCTTCTGACTTTTCTTTGGTTAAGTTGATTTGAAATGAGGTTCATTCTGGTTGTGTTTTCTTATTATCTTTAACAGATGGAGGAAATAATCAGCCAATTCCTCAAAAATTAAATTAATGTTTTTATTTCGAGCAACTACAATTTTTCCCGTGTTTTTGTTTTTTTCGATCTGAACAACTTTTTCGCAACAGAATCAAAATAAACTTAACCTTTAAATCATTTTTTAATAATTCCTATAATTAATTTTGTATTTATTTGAAAACAAATACACAATTAAATTGCGTCGTTTTTGACAACACACAACCAAAACAAAGGCCAAGCGTTTCCGAACAAACCAATAAAAATAATTCACGTTAATTAGCTGATCCGTGTCTTTATTGCTCCTGTCTACGTCAGCACGTGCACTAATTTCAGTCAGCATTAAAGCTACACTGTGATAAGGCCTTTTAATACTAGGCCAGGATATATAGGCCCACATTTTGTACCTTTTTTTTCTTTTTTAAACTACAATAAGCTTCTATCAATTTGAGATTAGGCTACATTTAAATTACAACAAGGTAGATTTTTATTCATTTGAATCGATTACAAAAAAACATAAAAACCATGCCATAATTTCAAGTATATTTTAAGGAATTTTTTGACTTTATGTTTATTTTTTGTGTTAGTGTTCAGCAGACACTTGACACAGGATTTGATTAGGCTCACAATAGAAAGCTGGTCCCGGTTATAATAGTCAGTGGCTCGGTGTGTACTCTGGAGTATTATGGTCGTAGGTGCAGTATAGAAATCCTAATCAAATCAGAATTATTACTGCGTATCGAGGGTGTAATTAATTAAGCGGTAATTAAATGTGACTCCTTGACGTTTCATTCAGTGTGAAAAGCGGATAAATCTGTAGTTTAGATTTATACAAACGTGTTCTGTAATGTTCACGTGTGTCAGATGAACTCCCAGTGTTGACACGCTTTTAACGGCCTGGGACTAAACCAGGACTAAACAAGAGGTAAATCAGGATTAAACCAGGACTAAATCAGGTCTGAACCAGGACTAAACAGGAGCTAAATCAGGACTAAACCAGGACTAAACCAGGGCTAAACAAGAGCTAAATTGGGACTAAACCCAGGACTAAACCAGAACTAAACCAGGTCTAAATCACTGCTAAAACCAGGACTAAACAAGAGCTAAACCAGAACTAAAATCAGGATTAAACCAGGTCTAAACCAGAAATAAAACAGGTTTTAGCCAGGACTAAACCAGGACTAAACCAGGTCTAAATCAGGACTAAACCAGCAATAAAACCAGCACTAAACCAGGACTAAACCAGGTCCAAACCAGGAATAAAATCAAGACTAAACCAGGATTAAACCAGGACTAAACCAGGACTAAACCAGGTCTAAATCAGGACTAAACCAGCAATAAAACCAGCACTAAACCAGGACTAAACCAGGTCCAAACCAGGAATAAAATCAAGACTAAACCAGGATTAAACCAGGACTAAACCATGTCTAAACGAGAACTAAAACCAGGACTAAAGCCAAGTCTAAACCAGGACTAATCACGAACTTAACCAGAACTAAAACCAGGACTAAACAAGAACAAAAATCAGGACTAAACCAGGTCTAAACCAGGAATAAAATCAAGACTAAAGTAGGACTAAACAAGAACTAAACAAGAAGTAAAATCAGGATTAAATCAGGACTAAACCAGGACTAAACCAGGTCTAAACCAGGAATAAAATCAAGACTAAACCAGGACTAAACCAAGAATAAAACCAGCCCTAAACCAGGTCTAAACCAGGTTTAAACCATACTGCGCCACCACAACCCCCAGTCCACGAAATATTGTTGGACATAGAACTGGTCTGTGGCACTAAAAAGGTTGAGACATATACAAACATGTTCTGAAATGTCCTTGTGTGTCAGATGCCCTCCCAGAGTCTCCATGGAGACTTAGTCAGTGCAAAACCTGCTAACCTTGTCCTGAAATAAAAGGATTCTTGGGTTCACTTTTCCCTAAGATTCAAATGCTCCTGCACAGATTTAAAACATGCAAAGATACATGCCAATCTAACACTAATATTAACACTAACACTAATACGTACAACATGTGATTTATTCATATTAATTATTAGTTCATGTCGAGTTACTTCCACATTAACTCAACAAAACATTAACATTTAGAAATCACAATTAAAAGAACAATATGTACTTGGGGTGTAACGATATCTGAGTCGGAACCAGGACTAAACCAGAACAAAAACAAGGACTAAACCAGAACTAAACCAGGACTAAACCAGGTCTAAACAAGAACTAAACCAGAAATAAAACCAGAACTAAACCAGGTCTAAAGCCAAGACTAAACCAGATATAAAACCAGAACTAAACCAGGACTAAACCAGGTCTAAAGCCAAGACTAAACCAGATCTAAACCAGGTCTAAACCAGACATAAAACCAGAACTAAAACAGAACTAAACTAGGTCTAAACCAGGTCTAAACCAGGTCTAAACCAGACATAAAACCAGAACTAAAACAGAACTAAAACTAGGTCTAAACCAGGTCTAAACCAGACATAAAACCAGAACTAAAACAGAACTAAACTAGGTCTAAACCAGATCTAAACCAGGTCTAAACCAGACATAAAACCAGAACTAAAACAGAACTAAACTAGGTCTAAACCA